CAGCAGGCGAGGCTGTGGTGGCCGGGAGCGGCCACTGCACTCCAGTCTGGGCAACAGAGTGAGACTCCAACTCAAAAAAAAATAAAAAATAAAAAAATAAACATCAGAGCCCTGTACTGGAAGTGATGGTAGTAGTGGTATTAGTACCCAGTCTGGTTTCCACACTTTTTATTCTCTGCTCAGCTTCTTGGGAACTAGGAGCTGGTGATAATAACTTCTCTGGCCCCAGCCTTCTTTTCCCAGCCCGTCTCTTCCCTCTGCCTCTGACATCTCAGGCTTCAATTAAGACATTGTCTCTCAGGAATCCTGTATCAGCCAGGGTTTATAGCCTACAGAAACTGACTCTGGCCAGCTTACTTTTTTTTTTTTCTTTTAAGGAGTGTTTTTGAAGAATAGTTAGTTTACAGAAATGAACACAATAAAAAGAAAGACTAAATAACTAGACGGAACAAAATTCAAGACCTAGGGCAGCTTTTGGGAACCCAGCTACAGGAACCACTAGGTCATCTCAATGAAACCACTAAGTATCTTAGTTCCAACTCCCTTCTGTATCTTTTTGTCTCTACCCAAAATTCAAATTCCTGTAGAGAGACTCTGGGATAGACTAGGTCACTGCCTGGGTCAAGGATCCTGTGATTAGTGGCCCCACAAGAAGCCCACCAAGTTAAGGAGGGCAGTTCCCCAGTGAATGGGATGGATGTTAAGCAGACCCAAACAAGTTACTCATTACAAAAATCCTTCTTACCGTGCTTCTAGGCTCCCCTATAGGAACTCCAGTAGCTCTTTACCCTCTCCCTGTTTATAATAATATTAATGCCTATTTTCCACTAAACTATAAGCTACAAGAAGTCAGAGGCCAAATCTATCATTGTATCCCCCAGTGTCTAGCAAATATCTTAAAAAATAGTAGGCCCTCAGTAAGTGTTTGGTGAATGGAACTCAAGAGAGGTTTACAATAGAAATTGCAAACTAGTGTTCCACCTCTTTTCCAAATATGTCCACTACTCACCTTTGTAAAGTCTGCCACCTTGTGTGCTGTATCCATTTCCACTGTCCCCTCTCTTCTCTATCACCTTAGGTAATTGCTGGCTTCAACCGCCTTCGGCAGGAACAGCGGGGCCTGGCATCCAAAGCAGCTGAGCTGGAGATGGAGCTGAACGAGCACAGGTGAGAAAGTAAAGAGACGCAAAGAGCAGGACAGATGGATGGGCCCTTTAGTGAGGGAGGGCTGCAGTAGAGTGGGAGTGAGCTCTCAGGTCCTGCCTTGTCCTCCCACCCAGCCTAGTGATCGATACGCTGAAGGAGGTAGATGAAACTCGCAAGTGCTACCGCATGGTGGGAGGAGTGCTGGTGGAGCGGACTGTCAAAGAGGTGCTGCCTGCCTTGGAGAACAACAAGGAGCAGGTGAGCAAGAGTCCTTGAATAGAAACTGCAGGCAACAAAGGCGTAAGAGTGATGCACCAGAGATTTAGGAATATGGTAGAGGAAAGTCTGGGTAAAACATACATTAAAGACAGTATACATAGCCTGTGCTCTTCATGCTATGCTAAGTCCAACTCCTTAGACAGGAAGAGCTGCTGGCTGTATACCCTTTCCATGGGCTGTGGGATGTGGCTGAATATGTGTGAGTGGGTGTGTGGTTAGTGTTTCTCACAGTGTAGCCCATGGATACCAGCATCAGAATCACCTGAAGGACTAATTTAAAATGCAGCTTCCAAGACCCTCTCCTGGTCCCACTGGATCATAAGCTTGGGGAATGCTATGAGTGATATTTTAAAAATAAGCAGCTCAGGTGATTCTTATGTACTTTATGGCTTAAAGTTTTTAAACCACTGTGTTTGGGAAAGGGATAATTAGTGTCTGGGCTCCTCTGTTAATACTTTTGGATAAAGGTAAGGTTAGAAGTGTCATTTCTCCTTAAGTTTTCCCAACCATAGTCCATTCCAGGTGGTGGAAGGGAGTCCTGAAATCCTTATATAATCACTGTCACTTGTCCTCCAGATACAGAAGATCATTGAAACACTGACACAGCAGCTTCAGGCAAAGGGAAAAGAACTAAATGAGTTCCGGGAAAAGCACAACATTCGTCTCATGGGGGAAGATGAGAAACCAGCAGCCAAGGAAAACTCAGAAGGGGCTGGGGCCAAGGCCAGCTCAGCTGGAGTGTTGGTCTCCTAGGGACCAAGGCTTTGCATTTTTTTCTACCCTGGCTCCCTCTTCTTCTAATTTTTCTTTATTATTATTATTTTCTCTGCTATTGTAATATTTTTTTGTTAATTAAATGTTTTGGTCAGAATGCTTAGCTGTAGCCTGACGTTTTCTTCCATTTAGGGGTGGAAATTGTATGAAGCAGGGAGCAGAATATGATTTGTGTTTTCTTCTCTGTCAGGTTAATGGCGCACAGTATCAGAGTAGGAGCCATATCTTATCCTTTCTCTTGCAAATAAAGATGTGTCTACTCATTTACTGCCCTTTCAAAAAAGATTCAGAGACAAATGGTGACACTCAGATTGAAATTTAATATGCATTTGAGGTGAAGGAGATAGCTCTGGTGAGAATGCTTATGAGTATGCAATAAAACAGGCTTGGTGGTGTGTCTTGGCACTGTTCTTTAGATAAAGAGGTCCAGAATGCAAACCTGTGGACTAGCCGTCCTGCCATCCTCACCAAAACCCCCAACCAGGTAAAGCTGATCATTCCAAAGGCAGGTTCGATGGCCCACACGTTTCAGCCCACGGTCTGCACAGGGGAAGTGGAACCACAGATCAGGAGACTTGCCTGTTGGGTAGGAGCATAGGTTCGTTACTGAGGTGGGTACTTTTGTCACCCATGGGACTCTTTTTTTTTTTGAGTTGGAGTCTCACTCTGTCACCCAGACTAGAGTGCAGTGGCACTCTTAACATGTCCAAGGCTTGCCAATTATTTTTCTCTTCACTTGACTTGTGGGCCTCTTCAAATGCACCTTTAACGCTTGTCTGCTAGTCTTCCTCCTGCCTGCCCCATCACACTGTCCTCTTTCTTAGCCCTTAGATTCTCCTGTCTTCCCACCTTTTCCCTTCAACCGTTAGTTTGGCTCTCACGGGTATCATAGATGTAGAGGTCATTACAGATGGTGTCTCTGGCTCTGGTCAGAGTTTCTCCACCAAACAGCACAGCAAAGGGCCCCACCACAGAACACGAGTGATGGCGTAGTCCGTGGGGCCCCTTCCGAGACCCCTGCCCACTGCTCACAAGCCTTGCCAGCTGTTCCATCAAATGAGGAGCAACAGGTGGTTCCTCCTTGAGGAAGAAAGAAGAGACTGATTTGGGTCTCACGATTTCAGCCCCCTTCCACCCTAAGCAAGGCACTAATACCTTCATCTTCCCCTGGCTCCAATGCCCAGCTACTTCTGGTTCAGCTGAGTTGCAGCCCCCAAAGAGCAACAGCTGGTGACCTGGGTGGGGCCCAGGTGTTTGGAGCAGGGCAGCACAGTGACCTGAGCGGGAGGCTGTGTGGCAGGCCTCCTCCTTGTAGCTGTGGATATGCAAAAATTCAGGCCTAAGTGGGGTTTTCTGGAAGATGTAGGTGCGTCTCCTTGCCAAGGCTAGAAAGGCGGCATGCGGCAGTGTGGTACGTCGCACGCGAGGAAGGGCAACATAGAAAGCTCAACGGAAGGGGGTCAGGGTGAGATGTGGATGCACTGCCTGAGGAATCAGCTTAGCTTCTGTTTTTCCAGAGTGTAGGTGAGAGGGAAAGGGTTTGGGCGGGGGTGCCATACCAATAGGTGCGGGCGCTGGGGTCCAGCCTTAGCGTGTAGATGCTGCCATAGCGACGCTGAGTGCGGACACCGCCCTCCCGGCAGGCCACCCGCAATTCTCGGTCGGAGAGGCGGGTGCAGGTGTGACTACTGAGGCCGGCAGGAGGGCAGCTGCCAGGCGTCGCTGTCCACGCCTCCCACACTCCGCGCTCCGTGTCCAGAGCGGTCACCGTGGCCAGGCGGCGCGACCCGTCCCAGCCGCCCACCACACACAGCCAGCGCCCGCCCACGGATGCCGCGTCGTGGTGACTGCGTGGGGGACTGCCCCGGGCGCCCAGTCGCACGGCCTGGCCCTCGGCCGGGTCGAAGACCACCGTATCGCTGCTGGGCTCTCTCGCCCCTCCTGCTAGGAGACCCCCTACCAGATAGAACCGTCCCCGCAGTTCGGTGCACGAATGGAAGGCCCGGGCCAAAAGCGCGTCCCGCGCCACTGGCCGCCAG